GGCCGACTGTATCCTCCTCCCAGTCTGGAGCTCCAGAGAGCCCGGGCCACAGGGACAGGCGTCATCTGGGCCCGATTGTTCATCCCCTGGTCACCCCTCTGCTTTCAGGGGACAGCAGTCACCAGAGCCATGTGCCCACACCTCCTCTCAGTGTCACAAGACAGGAGCCTCCGGGGCTGGACTTCCCAGAGCCTGCCCTTAGGCTGTTAGGAGACAGCGGCCACCATGGTCCTGTGCCCTGCACTGCCCACATGAGAGTCAAGGGTCTATGGAGTGGCTGCCTGGCCTGGTGTGGGTATGAGGCAGGTGCAGGTGGGGTGGGAATGCGAATGTGAAGACAGGAAAGGTGGGGCAGGATGGGCTCGGGGTGTGGCCAGCGGTGTGATCTGCGGTTACCTGACCCCGCCCTGTGTGGCTACAGGTGAAGAAAGTCTAAGTCCAGAGAGGAATCCCTACTCAGAAGAGAGCGAACAAGCAGAGCTTTGGTAAGCGAGCAAGCACGGGGGTGGACGGGACCCGGGACCCAGACGGCTGAAAACTGCCCCTGGGAATTCTGCTGGGAATCTTTGGGGAGTTGTAGGCGCAGCAGGCTGGACAGCGGATTGGAGACGTTCTGAGCACCCTTCGGGGTAACTAATGTAGCTGGGCTGTTGGAGGTCCCTGCAGAGTGGGGTTCTCAGCTGAATGAAGGCTTTCCTGGGGGGTGACAGGAGGTTGGGGGGTGAATATTCTCCTGGGGGTGTCTGCCCATGGGTGGGGCAGCAGGACCTGCTCTGGACCTTCAGGTCCGAGGGATCCCAGGACTATGTAGACCCTGGAGTGCTCAGTGGTCACACAGCTGCGGGGGAGGAAGGGACAGAGGGACCCCCGCCGGTCCAGCAGGACCAGGCTCTCGGTTCACACCGTTGGTGATGTTAGAAATGATGTCACCTCCCTATATCCCTTTAAGAAACATTTCTTTTCTTTTTTTTTTTTTAAAGAAACCCTTTAGCACTAAGTGCCAGGACTTGACTCTTGACTTAATGTGCTGGTTACCGTGTGTTCAAGTGCAAGAGTGGAAAACACTTCTCTGGCTCTAGAGTGATCCTGTCTCTTAGGGGCTGACCTGACAGTAGGTGGCAGGCGCACTTGTATTTGCTTTGTTGTCTGCGCTCTAGTGGACAGAACTGGTCCCAGGATGCAGAGCTCTTGGTCATGAATATTTGTAACCCAGGCTTTAGAGACTAGCGGAGTTCCTCAGTTTTTTGTTTGTTTGTTTGTTTGTTTGTTTGTTTGTTTGTTTGTTTTAAATCAAGATGTGAATGATACATTGGTCACTGTAACCTGAGAAGTCAAAATGATGGTGACTTATGATCTGTGGGTCACTTCACTGGTAGACAATCCCTGGGCTGTGAGAAGTTCTGCAAAACAGACATTGAAAGATTAAAGCCAAGTAACAATGTTTTTAGTTTTGATGTATTGCTAGAAAGGGAATCCACTATAATACAAATCACACTTTTGCTCCTGTTTCATTCCAGTCTCAACTAAAACTGGTGTTTCCTCACCAGCAGCTCTTGGCATGTCCCTCCTTCTGACTCAAACTCTAATGCAAGGGTATCCCAGGACTGGTCTTTTCTCCTCCCCAGCCCTTGGATGATCTCAGTGCAGTCTCATCAGCCACCTTTCCACCACCAAGGGCCATGACTCGGCCTGGACCCTCTCAACTCTTGTTCTACACTTTCCATGGCTTCTGTCTGTGAACTTCTGCTACGCACTGCAGTCCTTCCACTAGAGATGAAGGGTCACCCTGCAGATCCTCCTCCTAGCCACTTCCTGAGGGACACTTTCACTTCAACCCCTCACCTTTACTTTGGACCCACAAAGTGACAAAAGCAAAGTCTTCATCTAGTCATCCAATCTCAATGTAGCACCCCTCTCCCAGTGTCCTTCTCTTTAAATCACCCATAACTCACTAGGCTCAGCCACAGAAGGCTCTTCTTTTATTTCCCTCTCTCTCTCTCTCTCTGTCTGTCTGTCTGTCTGTCTGTCTGTCTGTCTCTCTCTCTCTCTGTCTGTCTCTCTGTCTCTCTCTGTGTTTCTCTGTCTCTCTCTCTGTCTCCCTCTGTGTGTCTCAGTTTCTCTCTCTCTCTCTCTCTCCTCCTCCTCATCCTCATCCTCCTCCTCTCTCCCTCCTCCTCCCTCACTCCCCTTTTACCATCTCTGGCTCTTGTCAGAACTACAGGCTGCTTTATTTTCATTATCAGAATGTGTCTCCTGTCTGTCTTTCCTCTTTTCCATTTCCCTTCCCCTCCCCCCAAGACCTCCTGCCCGTGATCCAGCCTGGCTTTCAACACTTAGCCCCAGGTCAGCCCACCCTTCCTGAGTTCCCGCCTGTGTAGACGGGCTCTTTCCTTCTTGAGCAGCACTGAGCACCTTTCCCTCCCTAAGTGGGTCAGAGACTCTCTGATACTTTCGCTCACATGCACCACCAGTGCTGGGCTGAATGACTACTGTGTGCACAGCCCAGCTCCATGGGCATGAGCAGTTATTAAATTCACTGCTTTCTAACCCACCTCCTGCTTTCAGTCACCCCAGGTCACTCGTATTCCCACCGCCATGGAAACACCTTTGTAATTAAAATACTCTCCCTTCTCTCTCCTTTCTCTCCAAAGCCAC